TCTAAGATGGAAAAAGAAAAAGAGGGAAAAGGGAAAAAAAATAGGCTAGGAGATGGCTATAGGTCACTCATTCATGGGTGCCTATGGCCTTGTTCTGCTGGACCTCTTAGCATCTTTTGATACCAATGGCCATGGTATCCTTCTGGTACGCCTCTCCGTGACAGGACTTTTTATGATGGCTCTGATCCTTCCTGGAAAAGAGAACTCAGAAAATGGTGCTGGGGGACTCCTGTTCGACCCCATGGGCACTGTCTTGTGTGTGAGGTGCCCCAGGGTTTTGCTTTGTCTCCTAGATTATTTAAAGTCTATAGGAAACTTCTGGGAGATATTGACCAGGGTTTGGGGGTTTTGTGTCTAGCCACTCTAGCCGCCTAGAGTGGTCCTGACCCGACCAGATAGGCGGGATATAAATAAAATAAAATAATAAATAAATAAAATGTGTCACCCATTATGGAGATGACCCCCAACTCTATTTCTCCTTGCCATCTAAATCTGACAAAGCTTTTCCAGTTGTAGATCAGTGGCTGATGTTAGTAATGGACTGGATGAGGACAAATAAACTGAAACTGAATCCAGACAAGACACAGGTGCCTCCTCGTCATTCGAAAGGGGGAACAGGGATATGTAGCCAATGTTGGATGGTTTACACTTTCCCTGAAAATTCAGTGTGAAGTTTGAGGGAGTGCTCCTGGTTTCATCTCTTGATTATGTGTTCCTAGAGAGGTCTGATCTGGCCAAGGTGGCACATGCCTTAGTCGTAGTCCGGCTGGATTACTGTAGTGCTCTTTACTTAGGGCTAAAAATTGAAAGTATCAGAAAACCTCAGTGGGTCTAAAATGCAGCAGCCAGATTGCTAAATGGGGCTGGTCACAGGGATCCCATAAACCCTGTGACAGCAGTGCCACTGGCTGCCAATCTGTTTCCAAGCAGAATTTAAGGTGTTGGTTTTAATCTATAAAGCCATAAACAGCTTCGGTCCAAGCTATCTCCCTTTATGAGCCTGCTTGAGTGTTAGGATCAGCCGGGGAGGGGGGGGAACAACACCTTTCTCTCAGTCCCACTTAACAGATGCATTTGGTGGATACACTGGGTAGGTACTTGTCTGTTGCTGCTCCCAGATAGCTGGAACTGCATTGAGTACTGTTTAAACAAATCCTCAAACCAGAGACCACAGCTGTGATATATATGCAAGTGGGATCTGAAGGCCTTAGGAATGGATCTCAACAGATGGGAAACCTGGACCTCTGAGCGTTCAGCCTGGAGGCAGGCGTTGCATCACGACCTCTCCCAATTTGAAGAGACCCTTGTCCAGCAGGCTGAGGCAAAGAGGCAGTCCTGAAACCAGCAAAATCGGAGCAAGACAGGACAGATTGTATTGGCCTTCAGCATGGAAGAGATTGTCACTCTTGAAGTGGCCTTCTCAGCCACACTAGACGCTGTTCCAAGTCCTCCTTTCATAGCACGTTACCCTAGTCTCTTGAGGCTGAAGGATGGCTATGCTAAAACCGGAATAATTCAAATTGCAGGTAATAAACTAACCCACATCAGGAGAGGAAGGGGCAAAAAGGGAAAAAACAATGCCACTCTCTGCAATTCTATGGGTAACTTTTTCAAAGAAATCTTGCAAACGCAGGTGACAGCTTTCTAATAACCTACGTACTGTACATTGTACAAACAAAAAGGTGTCTTTCTCTCACACACACTCACACAAAGGTACACAACTCCCTGTACCAAAAAAAAAGGAAAGAAAAAAAAGGACCATATCAGAGGTTATAGCAGGAAGATCTAGCAAAGTCACGAAGTGGAGAATTCAGGATCAAATGGATCCTAGATCCCGTCAAACTGGGATTATGTCTGGAGGCAACAAATGTTGAAACTGAGGCTATACTACTTTGGGCATATCGTAAGAAGGCAAGACAACAGTGATAGGAAATGTGGCAGACAGCAAGAAAAGAGGAAGACCGGATACGAGATGGACTGGCTTCCCAAAGGCAGCCACCACAGGGTTGAGTTTCCAGGAGTTGAGCAGGGCTGTTGAGGACCGGAGATTTTGGGGTGGCCATAAATCGGAGGCAACTTGGGGGCGCATTAATAAAAAGCCACCCAAAGAGAAATCAGCCGACACTTCCGGCTCCTCATGGACAGGCGGCCCTTTTGGAGAGGAGGAGGAGGGAGAACGTAGAGCTAGGAAAAGGGAAGAGGAGCGACTCCCCTTCGGTATCTTCGTAGGGGAACCTGAAGTGGAAACAGTGCGGCCTGCCTTTTCCCCTTTCCCCCCTCTGGTCTTCCGTGACTCAGCGAGTGGCCTCCATGTCAGTTTTACACTTCCGGCTCCTCATGGACAGGCGGCCCTTTTGGAGAGGAGGAGGAGGGAGAACGTAGAGCTAGGAAAAGGGAAGAGGAGCGACTCCCCTTCGGTATCTTCGTAGGGGAACCTGAAGTGGAAACAGTGCGGCCTGCCTTTTCCCCTTTCCCCCCTCTGGTCTTCCGTGACTCAGCGAGTGGCCTCCATGTCAGTTTTCCCG